AGAAACTCTGTCTCTCTGCAGTTCTCCCACCTCGTGTACTTTTATACTCAAGGAGTCACTTATATCCTTTGCTCATCTTCATGTCCGTTGGCCCCTGCCCCTCCTTCCTAGAACCAAGCCTTCTGCTATAATTTGTTCCAATCCATCATGGCGCTTGATATGACCAAAATATTTCAGCTTCTGAGACAGGATGCTGTTTATTCGCCAATCTTCCTTGATGTTCAGATCTTTCAAGATGTCAGTATTTCTCCTCTTCTTTATAGTTAATCTAGTGGATCATATACCATATCTATTTTTAGCATATAGTCATTTTGTAGATTACATTGTATAGGTAATCTAGTGGACCATATACCATCTCTATTTAGCCTTTAGAGTCGCTGTGTAGATTACATTGAATAGTTAATCCAGTGGATGAAATGCCATATCTGTTAGCATAGTTTCCCCGGAAGGACCCACCTGCAGGTTTTCCCCGAAAAAGGACCTACTAAAAGTTTCCTGAAAAAAAACCCATCCTGCAATTTTTCCTGAATAAGACCCATCCTAAATGTTTTCTGATAACCTATCCTAAATGTTTTTCCTGAAATAGGACCTATCCTAAAAATAAAACTTTTTAAAATTAGCCTTAGTATAATGGGGGGGGGGGGGGGGGTGGGGGGGGGGGGGGGGGGGGGGGGGGTGTTGGGAAAATTTTGTTGATCCAAATTAAAAAAGAGGGAAAATATGCGCACCCCCAAAATTTTAAACCCACCCCAGATAAAAATTCCAGCCCAAATGTAAGCCTAGTTCTTCAGTAATAATAAATAAAACATTTTCCTTTCTTTTAATTAGTTAAAATTTTAAAGTCTCCCTAGCTTTTTTTTTAAAAAGTTGTCGGTTTTTGTGAAATTTTTTTTTTTTTAAACAGCGCAGTAAAACACAATTCGTTTTGGACGTCTTTTGGTCAGGTTTTTGTTTTACGGGGCAGAAAACCAGTATAAATTTTTTTAACTGTGGTGTCCTTTTTTTTTTTTAGGGCAGCGAAAAACGGGTTTTTCCATTGGGGTACGGGGTTTCACTATTTTTCTTTTTGGGGGAAAAATTTTTTAAAAATTTTGTATGCTAGGGGCCACAGTATAAGTTTTTTGGGGTAAAATGTGTTTTTTCATTTTTTTTAAACAATGAAATGGTGTAAAATTTTGGGGTGGGTACTTTTACAATTCAGATAGGGGGTAAAAATATTTTAAAATATTTTGGGTTTAAAAAGGGGTCTTTTACAATTTATAAAGGGGGGTTAATATTTTTTATATTTTGGGTATAAAGTGTTTTTACATTCATTAAAGGGGTTAATTTTACTTTTTGGTGAAAAGTGCACTTTTTAATTTCATTTTAATAGTGTAAAGAGTTTTTCATTTGGTGTTATCTGCAGATATTTTATTTTTTGGGTTAAACAGATTTTTCCCAAATAGTTCTAGTTGTTTGTCAGTTTCTGGACTTGGGTCTTGTTTCAGAACTTGAGAGTTTTACATGCACATCCATTTCACAGACCTGGCCTATTTTTTAAGTAGACTGTTAGTTCCTCACTTTTCAAGTCTTGGAAGACGGCCACAGTCCAGAAAGAGACAAACAACCACAACTCTGAGCTAGAGTTTACAGTCAGTGAACACAAATGGCAAACTCCACATCTGAAATATTGACTTTACAGTTGTCTGTGTTATGAGGTGTGTGCAGCTATGTGATTATTTTGGTGTAAAAACCTTTCCTTCTGACCTGGCTCCAAACAACCATCTCCCTGGATTCTGATTTGCACAACTCAGTTTACTTCTGACCTGGTACCAAACTACCATCTCCCTGGATACTGATTTGCACAACTCTGTTTCCTTCTGACCTGGTACCAAACTGTCATCTCCATGGATACTGATTTGCACAACTCTCTGTTCCCCTGTCTGATGTTAGGAGCCAGCAGCATGTGCAAGACTGGTGATTGAGTTGCACATCTGTGAAAGAGTGTGGTGATCCTTGAAACAGTGGCTAGGCTTTATACCTAGTCCAGGGTGAGACCACACCATAAATTACACCTTCTCTTTGACTTACAATCTATGCAGCTTAGACCATCCGCACTTAAAACCACAAAATATAAGTAAATAAAGAAAAGTAACTACATTGGTAGGGCAATTAAGTTTCCAGAACTGATGCCAAAAGCAGAGCAAGGTCTAGAGATCAGAGCCTGTGTGAAACAGCCAAATAAGGCAGACTGACTGCAACCGCAGTTTGAATGAAACTCATCATCTAGCACAACGGTTCTCAACCTGCCGGTCACGAATTTTTTTTAAATATGTCGAACAACCTTTTCACAGGGGTTGCCTAAGACTATAGGAAACACATATTCTTTGAAGTTGTGAAGGAAAATAATAGTTTGGGGGTTGTCACAACATGAGGGAACTGTATTAAAGGGTCCGGCATTAGGAAGATTGAGAGCCACTGATCTAACAGGTCCTCTGCAGAACGTCGCTCTCATCACAGGCTGCCTGAAAGAAACTGGGTCTCCTGCCAGCCTTTCTGCCTCATGTAGTTTCGTATTCAAGGAGTCAGTTATATCCTGTGCCCATCTTTATGTCGGTCGGCCCTGGCCCCTTATTCCTGGTACCATGCTTTCTGCTATTATTATTTTTTTTCCAATCCACCGTAGCTCTTTATATGACCAAAATATTTCAGCTTCTGAGGCAAGATGCTGTTTATTAGTCAGTCTCCAAATCTTTTATAACTGAATGAAAATAGTGTTGGAAAATATAAATTGCGACCTGTTAGTTGAAACAGAACTGGGTCATAAGTCTAGGAAACCCTGTATTGCCTGAAGGTCAGGGCCAGTGTGAAACCTTTTGTGTTCTCAGCGACCTTTTGCAAAAGTGCATATCAAGGTTGTTGAATTGTGTTTTTGTTCTGGCAGATTGTCTACAAAGGAGGAAAAGTTTACATTAAAATTCAACAATGATGCTGTTCCACGCTCCAATACTCCAACCTTCCTGGGAGTCAAGCTTGACAGTCGTCTGACATGGAAACATCACATACTAGAAACTAACAAAAAAGCCATGAGAAAACAAGGTGTGATGAAGAAATTGGCAGGCACCACTTGGGGAGCAGACAGTTGTATCTTGAAGCAGGTATACACCGGCACAGTCAGACGAACTCTCGAATACGCATCATCGTCATGGATAACAGCAGCCCATTCCAATAAACAGATACTAGACAAAAACGCAAAATAGAAGTCTGCGTACAATTCTGGGAGCCATAAAATCTACACCTATTGTAGAAATGGAAAAGGCAGCCAACATCATCCCCTTAGAAGAAAGAAGAAGGACAAAAGCAATTCTACATGCTGAAAAAATGAAGAGAATGTTAAACCACCCATTACACGAAAAATTGGCAGCCAGGACAAAAAAACAGAATAAAGCGCAAAAGCCTAAACCATCTAACGAAGGAATTTGGAAAGTCATTCTCTTCACTACTTAACCAACAATGTACACCTGAAGAGCTATCTTTCGATCTCTGGGACTCCAAATTATTGACACTCAATGTGTCAACATCCATCCCGAACCTGGGAAACAAAGATGCTGAGCCCGCTTTAGTGAAGAAAGCACTCACAATAGAACACCTCAACAACATGTTCCCACAGGACAGCTGGACAAGAATCTACACGGATGGATCAGCAAAAGAAGCAACTACGAATGGTGGGGCAGGTGTCTACATAAAACACCCAGATGCCACTACTGTGTCCCTAGCAGCCCCCACCGGACGTACTTGCTCTAACTACAAGGCAGAACTCTCAGCTCTATTGATGGCAGCACAGTGTATGAACAATCTGCAAATCACCGCAGGCAGGATAGTTTTTCTCACTGACTCACTGTCAGCTGTACAGGCCCTTGAGTCCAAACCTACCGACAGCACACTACAAAGTATAACACAGGAACTTGCTATGTTGTCAAATAAGGCAGAAATTCACTTGCAGTGGATTCCGTCTCACTGTGGCATCAAAGGCAATGAAAGCGCAGATGCTTTAGCCAAGGAAGGCAGTAACAAACTACAGACCTACCAGCCACTATCTTTTCCAGAAGTCAAAACTCTCATTAAGAGAAAATCAGAAACAGACTGGAAAAACAACACTGGTTATGACTACGGAAAAGATTTTCTGAGGCACTTGAACAGAACAGACCAAGTCACAGTTTTTCGCTTACGCACTGGACACTGCAGACTCAATAAACACTCATATAAATTAGGTATGAGCCAAACAGCTCTCTGCCAGTGTCTTCGTGCTGAACAGACTCCAGAACATGTCCTGCAAGACTGTCCTCTCCTGGCGGAGCTGCGGAGCGACATATGGCAACACCCAGTAGAACTGACAACTAAGCTTTAGGGAAACCTAAGAGACCTTGAAAAGACATCCCAGTTTATGACCCACAGTGGATTATGCGCATGACCAGAGATCGCTGAAGAAGAAGAAGAAGTTCTGGCAGATTAACATAATGTATGTGTATGATTGATTGACGTTCAACCCAGCCATGACTGTACAACAAGCGAGAAACACCCGGTGACACAAAGTTAAGTTATATTAGGGCCCCCAATAACAGCCTAATGGGGCTTAATAAAAACTAAAAATTGTGTCCCGTACTAGGAAGCATTTTAAATAATATATTTGTGTGAACAAATCCAGAGAATTGACTGTTACAAAACTATTTGCATATCCTCTTTGAGATATTGCAAACCAATTCCAGTATTTGTGTCTGGTTTTACTGCATGATTTTACATTCAGTCATTTGCTATTGCTTTCTGAATAGTGCGACACTCATATCTTTGTCAGTACAGTGCAGTTTGCCTTCAATTCACTTGAACCCCAGTGTGGCATGATTGTGAAACTGCGCTCACAATCTTCAACAACAGACATCTACAGAAGTGACTATATGTTGTTATTACTTCTAAATCATACTTGAATGAGTTGCATGATCTTTATATTATTCTTATTGCTGCAGCCTAAATCAAAAGAGGAAGAAAAGAAACAGGCAGCAGATGGAGAGAAAGTGGGAAGTGGACGAACTATTCCAGTAAAACAGGTATGGTCTATTAAGAGTGATGACATAAATACCAGGGGGCTTCAAAGAAAACCTTTAAAGTATGATAGAAATGACAATAGTCAAGCCATTGCCTTCTAACCTGCCAGTATCATTGTTAAGGATGTCAAGAGTATTAAGCATGTGGCCTAAGATGAAAATGCTGATGTCATAATGACAGTTACAGATGGTCACCCTACTTTTGACATGCACCAAAGAGGAGCAGCATTCTGCTAAATGTTTTTATTAATAAAGGGGTGAAATTCATCAGCAAATGAAGGTCCAGTAGGTTGAGGCATAACTGTCCGTCTGGTGGCTGACTTTATGACAGTTTGTTTACAGCTGGGTCAGACACAACAAGTAGTGACCCCAGAATCAGTTCCAGCCATCCTTCACAGGATAGTCTGCAGTCAAGCTGATATTTAAAAAAAATATATATATACATACTAAATACAAAATGCAATTGTTCTAGATGAGTTTAAAGAATATCATGGGTAAAGAAAAGAACAAATGCATCCATACTTCAAGAACTGAATATTGAAGAAGACTGGCTATTAAATATGGTAAATTACAGAAAACTGGAATATTTTGGTCACTTGAAATGTCACGAAAGTTTAGGAATGGGACAAGAGTCGCACCGTGGGTCTCACCACGTATTATTGTCAAAAAGAATATGAATTCACTGTAGCCAACTTACATTGTGGAGACAGCACCTAAGTCTTTTTTTAGTTCAATAAAACACACAAGTAGAGACGGGTAGGATTATTAAACACAGAAGCTGCTGACACATGGGGGGAGGGGGGGGGGCCTGGCCTGGACTTAAATCTCTAATTATAGACTATTATTAACCCAATGGAAGGGTATATGCCTGGGAAGAGAGAAAGAGGAAGGGAAGGCCAAAGATGGGTGTATCAGACCTGGGACATCTTGCTTGTGATCAAGAAGTTTTTCCGGAGGGTTGTTATGGGAGCAGGGTTCTGCAATGGACAGCCTACTGACTGACTGATACAGCACAAACTATAACTAGAAAACTCAGTGGACAAGACAACAGAGCTTTTAACAGCCATTGTAAAAAATTGAAGCAGAAATACATATAGCATATGGTTGTATTCGTGCACATTATTTCCATTCTCTCCGTTGAGTTTTCCAGTCACAGTTTATGTGATTTTAAGTATTTCAAGTATTTCATAGTCTATCAAGTTTTGATATGAGGAGCTTGGAGTGACTTCAGAAATACTTCAGAAATAGTTTGAGATTCTCCTGTCTAGACGTGTTCACAAACCACACCAGTTTTCATTTCCTCTGGTGAAAGAAGCAGGGCTGATATCATGTACAGACGCAGAAAGGCTAGTTGATCTTTGGCCAGTATAAATGTGTCTGTAGATGTGACGTTACGTCCCACTCCCTTGGAAATTTACAACACTTTTTGTGTGACATCCCGGGTCGTGGGTTCTCTGGATTTGGGTATAAATGATTTATATGTTGAGTAGGGATTTTCCTCTCAACACATCCCCTCCACCAGATTAACAACTATTATCTGGGCTATGTTGCTCTCAGACAAAGTCCTGGATATCCAAGAAAACAGCCATATTGGCTTGTTATTTATATTAACTTTAGCTGAACTTGGTATCCACAAGAGAAGGAAATGGGTTTTAGATGTCTATATATTATTATCTTGAATTATTTACTAGACAGGGCAGTTGACCCAATCCGTCGACCTTCTCTTGGTAAAGAAATTGTATTATTATTTAATGAGCCCCCACCAAATGCTATTCTATCTTAACAGTTTAATTAAACAGGAAGGACACACTTGGAATTACAAAAACACTGATGCAGGATAAGACCATATAATTGATTTATTAACCTAGCAATAATTTTGATTATTTATATTTTTAGTCAATGGTGATGGTATGGTGGTAATGAGATACTTCAGCTTGATAACTGAGCCCCTAAGATAAGAGTAAATGATAATGGTGGTGTTTAGTTACATAAATACATGTTACATAACTTTAGAAAGTGGAACCTCTGAGAGTCCTCGTGTTGAGTCCCTTCTTAGCTGTTCCAATCTTTCCGCCCAGTTCTCCTGATCCTTCCACCTGGTTCCCTGGTTCCCATCTGTTTCCCAGCTGGCCGAGTCTAACACAATGTAGTCTCTTTCATGGACTGATCGTCACATGGGCGCTGTAATCATGGAAACAAACACATACATGTAGTATCTTGACTTACACTAAGAATACATGTATTAATTAATATAACATATAATAATAAAATATATCCCATCACTCCTCATATTCCACCATTCTCTCCAGTCTAGTCTGAAGGTCTTTTGTCTTAATGGACGTCACATATTCTGCCTTCCCTCTCATTCTATGTCATGATAGTTGACTTTCTAAGTCTGTTGTCCGTCATCATCAGACTTCAATTGGCTGACATTGATTTGACATAAACATGTGGCATTATGTGCTGAACACACAAACAATTTATATGTGCACGCTGTCCTGAATATTATCTTTCAGTGACCGTGAATTCTATACACCCATCATTCTTCCCCTGGGGTTATAAATCCCCTGTTTAGGTGAACACATTAAGTGAGCACATGGTGGGCACACAAAAACGTAACAGCATCCCTGCACATATTTGGGCATCATTTCCCACAGTCCCAACTCATATTTTGGCTGATCATGGAAACAATATAATTACATTTCATTATAGCAAATGTCGTTGTTCACATCTTATTTTTATACACATGAAAACATACACTGAAAAAACATGTGACACAAACATACAAGAAATAGGAATAGTTTAGCATCCCTAACTGAGATACTGAATACTCACAAAGAACTATTTCAAGCTTTTAGGAAAAGGTAGTATAGACTAAGCTTAACTCCCTAACCTATGTATACAAGATTAAAATTAATATTTTACCTGGGAACTTCCATTAATCGCCAAACCAGAAATCGACCGTAAAATTGACCTTTTAAGTCGACCTGTGTTTGTTTGCTGGCAGGCTGCGATTAATGACGGGAATTCCAAAGGCTCGAAGTATACTTTCTATCTGTCTCAAGGTTAAACTCCTCCCTTTACTCGGTTCTACCCAACCCTCAAAACGATGACTTAAGCCACGCCTCTGAGGTACCTATCAGATCAAATTAGCTAACAAGTGGCCTGTCAGTCAATTCTGGACTGACATCCCTAGAGCAAACATTCTTAAGTGACCCAATCTAGTTTACAACGAATCTAACTGGTGGGTGTTAAAAGACGGTCAGTGAAGCCATTGTGTTTCCTACTTGACCAAGATCAAACATTCCTAATTGCCAAACACCTGTTCTCTTGAGAATTACACTGACGTGCGAAACTCAAACCTCTCGTCTCCACAATGTCTAGAGTCCACTCAATTCCCCTGATCTAGTCTTTCAAAGCAGTCTGGTCAGGAGATAACATTTATGACATGGGCATGTGAAAGGAAATTCTCTAGCCCCGGTGTAATTGCGTAACATTACCCAAGACTCAGTCGCTTTGTCTGGCTAAGACGGGAAACCCAGTTTAGACAATTCTCAAATCCCTTATAGTGGTTTTAGAACTATTTTAGGCTCAGTGTCTATTGCTCTTAATTCTTTGTCCTTCTCTGAACATAAGAAATTATCAAATACAATATAACTTCTGAGACCACTGAGGTCATTTCGTCACAGTAGATATGAAAAGAGCGCTGTTTACCGTTATCATCATACTTGCATAAACATGATTGCAAGAGATAAAAACCAGAACAGCAGCAGCATACCGTGCCTCTAAGCTTGCTTAATTTAACAATAGATGAGGGCAGAACTAGGAAGCTTCATCTTCATTATCATCTTCTACTCCTACTACCACCAGCATCACTACTATTGCTACCTCCATCATAACTTTTTCTTCTACTCTTTTATTCATCCTCCTTTTTCTATGCTTATATAAGGAGTTAATTTTGAATGCCTGCTAGGTTCACTAACTGAGACAGAACTAGAAATCACAACATAAGAGATAGCATAGATAACAAGGAATAACGTGTGGGAATGTCCCGAGTACAATGGTATCAATTCTTGATTCATTCATTCATTTAATCCACAAACTGGTGATGGAAGTCATCGGATCATGTCCCGCCTCTGCTGCTTATTCTCAACAATTCATCCCTTGCGCTCGTGAGCACATGTGGTCTCAAAGTCATTGTCTGTATTGGAATGTATTAACAGTTTTTTCTTTCCATGCCTGTAGAACATTGGGTATATTGTTCTGATCCTGTACTATAATTGTGTTTAGATAAGACAGTGCTAGATGGATGGTGATATTTTGTACTTTAAAACATTTTAAATTGGGTCATCCCTGAATAGAGATGTGGAGAAGAATGAAAAAACATTATGGAGAGATAGAAAAATAAATTAAACAGTCCTCTTTGAGACAGATGAACGTCTTTAACTCCTAAGCCACGGACGCCGCATTGAAAATATGTATTTGTGCTATATGTCCAGACTTTAGGGATGAGATTTTCAAATATATGCTCTTGGTGCCTTATGGCATGGCTTTAGGGTACATGTGTGTACTTCAGACAGCTTTATCTGTGGTGTTTGTATTACAGGGTTGGTTGTATAAAAAGAGCCACGGATTAAACAAGGAGTGGAAGAAAAAATATGTTGCCTTGGTGGATGATGGGAGATTGGTCTACCACTCAAATATACATGTAAGAAATCTCATGTTTGTACTTGTTCTTTTTGTGAGTATATCTCTCTGAACTTTCTGTGTCTGTCTGTCCCTAACCACCCCCACCTTATATTTGAATGTTAACACTTCTGTGTTCTATCACGTTTACCCCCCACTCTGTAGAAATAAGAAGGATCACTGGTTTCTTAGTGCTAAGATTTATATGACATTCATTAACCATTTGAAGGATTATATGCCAAGGACAGTTGTCCAAAAGAAGACTGGATTAACATATGTTGGGTCTAGGTTAGGGGCTACGCTTGGGTTTACTGCATGGGGTTCTTGGTTTTCTTAACTTTGCACAGTATTCTTGCTTCCTACATTCTCATGAGATTTATATTTTAGTTAATTTTGAGATTTATCTCTTTTAGCTGTTTTTGTTGTTGTTTTGTTGTTTTTGGCTGTTAACTGTAGTCTGTTTAAAACACAGACACTCATTTTGAAAATATGACGGTGTCTGTGTTTTCTGTCTTCCTGGTCAGGATTACATGGAGGACACACATGCTAAAGAAATTCCACTTGTCAGAACCACTGTCAAAATACCAGGTATGCGACCTCGTGGGTCAAGGGCGGTCTCGGGTGGGATCGCCACCAATGGAGACATGAACAACTCTATAGGTGAGCGTATTTATGTGTGTTTGTATCTGTGAGTATTTGTGTGTGTGTGTCTGTTTGTTTCACTCATATTTCTTTGACTGTCCATTTCTACATATGTGCACATCATCATAATCTTTTTCTTTTCACTACTCCTGGAATGCCTGGCAGCGTAAGGGCAGGAAGAAATCTCTGTAACGGGCCCTTTCTGTTTGCTCCCCATAAAGTACTTTCAGTGATCTCCCATATTTATGTAGTCCATATTCTGCCCAGTCAACCTGTGGCTCTGTTATCACTGTTTCTGTAACATTGCTGTCTGTGGTGCCTTGTTTGTTGCCAGTCTTGTTACGTGACCAGACCACCATCATCATGTTCCCTTAAATGTCACATAGGTCTTACAGTTTTTTCTCATTTTATTATATCCTGTGCAGGCGTTTCAAGAGGAATGGTATCCGCTCCAGCATCTTTGGCCTTTCCATCAGCGTTCCTCTCAGGGTTCTGTTAGGTGTCCTTGTTTCCTCACTTCATTTGTTTCCCCTTCAAGTTTTTTTTTAAGTAACTCTCAGTTTGCTTCTGCGTAAGATCTGGCCAGTACATTGCTATCTACTGTGTCCTTATTTCTATATATGTACGCATAAGAGTATACACGCAAAACCACACACAAGTATAGTATGTGTATGAATGATTAAAGAATGTAAATGTGTTTGTGTCTAAATCAAGAAGACAATTTTTAAAATAACTGTTAAATGTAGCTGGAACTTTTCTGTCTGTCCAGCCTGTGTTGTTATATTGTGCTGTAGGGAGACTTGGCAGTCTCAGCCCAACGTGGTGGGCAGATTAAGGCCAGGGTTGAAGTTCCTCCTCTCCATAGCAGAAAGCCTTGTCACTATTTGTAGAAACTGTTTGTTGCCGGTGCAGCATGATCCCTCTCTCGGCCTGCCTTGTTTACCACATAATTGTAGATGTAAAGAATTGATACCTGTGTTTGTGTGTCATCAGTTTTGTGTGTGTGTGTCATAAGTTGTGTGTGTGTGTTTGTGTGTCATCAGTTTTGTGTGTGTGTGTCATCAGTTGTGTGTGTGTGTTTGTGTGTCATTAGTTGTGTGTGTGTGTTTGTGTGTGTGGCCAGGTTATGAGAAGAGGAGTATTAGAACATGGTGTGACCGCTGGCAAGATTTGTGGAAAGAGAGATAGAGGAAAACAGAGTGAGAAGATTCTTGACAGCATTTTGTCCTGAGGGGTGTCTTACAGGTCATCAAAGGACAACAAATGAAGTGGTTTGGACACCTTACAAGAATGCCCTGGTACTATCTGCCACAGCAAGCCACACTGAAATGTTACAACGGGTATAGAGAGAGTTTAAGACCTTGGAAAAGATGGAGTGATGGCATTAAGAACAGCCTTACAGAAATGAACATCAGTCTTAATAGTGCTCTTGACAGAGCTCATCAATGAACGTTGCACCTTCCCCCGACATTTTGGTGAGGTGCAAGGTGGAAGAGAAGTTGATCGAAGAAGATAGAGGGGTGTCAGCATGTGAGCTGAGTCGTGATGTTGGAGATCACAAGTTGTGGAGAGGCATGATCGCACCTGACAGTTGGCAAGGCAATGATGATGTTTACTGAAGCAGCTAGTATGACATAGGTTTGATAATTTTACACTGTTTCAGTGCTTTGCATATTATTAATAATGTTTGATATGCCAGTGTGTGTGTGTGTGTCATCTACAATAAGTTTTTGTTCATCCTTGCAGCGTTTGATGTGCCCGCTGATGGTCAGATTGACAATTCGTTGGTCATTCCCAACACTTCCACCACCACAGGTAATATATCAACCACCTCTTCCCCACCACAGCATTAATTGTAATGTTTTATAGGCATGGTTGATGAACATTTCAGATGCTAGAGTAATGTGCTTGTATGGTTACTGTTTTTTGTTCTTTTTATAAGCTTTTATTAAGTTGGGTTTTGTATGCATGTTTTTTTTTTTTAACTGACTTTTTGTTTCAATGTCTAACTCTCATCTTTATACAGTGAAAGAATTTAAAGTTTATTTATTAAATTTGTGGGTCAGTTTTTTCCCCAGGGAAGGGAGATTTGTGTGTATATGTGTGCCTCCTTTTGTCACTAATTTTATGTGCATATCATAACCCAATTCTGCTGGGGCAGTAGGAAAGGAAATCTATAGGTGAAGAGAGGGGGATAAAGGGAAATTATATTGGACAGTTTGGCACTGTGGCATGGAAGATCTGGTTCAGAAATGCTTGGCACACATCGTATTTGTCCGGGTATAACATGCCTCCAATTTTAAACTTTGAGAAATTTGGGAAAGCATATCGTATCATACGCAGAAGAATACAGTGATTTATTTATTTTTATGCAGATCCTGTCTTCTGATATTAAATTATTCTGTAATTCATCTACTTCTGCTATTTATCCTGTAATGGAACAAAGGCCTTCAACCAACTCATGCCAGGTTTCCTATCTTTTGCTATCACGTGTGTCTTTTCACATGCTTCCTGTATTGTTATGTTATATTATCACAATTGACTTACTGCACATTGGGCTTCCCGTGTGTACTCGGTCCTCTGATGCAGCAGCCACACCAAGGTACCTCTACTGATTGTTGCTACAAGGAGCTGGTTATAATGTCTCCTGTCTCAGCCTCAGAGGCGGCATAGACATGCTTCACCATACTTCACTCCCATGTCATGCAGTCGTGTTAGTGTCAGAGATTCGTTGTTATTTGCTCTGTCCGTGCTTCTTTCCACGTGCATTGGTGCATTGCTTGTCAGTTGGTCCACTCATTCATTACCTTTCACGTCAGCATGGCCAAGTATATAGATCCAGATGAGGAAGGTTAAGTGCGATCCATCAAGGACTGACTGTATTAAGCAGATACATATTTTCTTCTTATGGTTTTGATCTCCTAGTTGAGCTCTGGGCTCCAGCCGTTTCATGCAAAGCTCTGCATCGACTTGCTCATGATTGGTTGGATTTTGCAGCTAGAGTTCCCTACTTTGGACCCATCAAAGATGTAATTCATGATTAGTTGGCTTTTGCAGCTAAAGTTTCCTACTTTGGACCCATCAGAGATGTAATCAGCAGGGAAGAAGAATGAGAAGCAGTAGCAAATTTCAGGATTTGTTAAAGTCACCACTATTTACTGGCTTCATCAGGCTGCAGTAATCCAGACATCTAGAGAGAATGGCAGGTAATGGAAGGATACTTTTCACGAAGAAGAAGAGGAAAGTTTTCCCACAAGATAGCCATTCTCACATGGTTACTTTTTAGTCACCTCTTAAACAGTTTGTGGTGGGCTAGAAAGTTATCCTGTGCTGTTTCCCTTGTGGGCCCTAATGACATTTATGGAGAAGTTTGAGGACATGTTGTGAGATGCAAAGGGACTGACTGACACAGGGCAGTGGACCTGTGGTTAGGGAAAAGAATGTTGAGAATATTGTCTACTGAATAAAGCAGCATTGGATGGGTGGGCAGTGCAGTAAACAAATAGCGGCTAGATGCTCGGCTGCTGATCCCGAGGTCTAGGGTTCATATCCTCATTGAGGATGACTTTGAATCCCAGGCACATACAGCCTCAATGGGAACCAGGAAATGGCCTGGGAAATAAAAGTGGCCGACGGGATGTGAACCACGTCACCCATTGAGTGGTGAATGGTCTATAAAAAATAAAGTCTAGCATGATATGTCTTTAATCTGGAGAAAGACAGCGAATTATATCTTTTCAGACTCACTGCGGGTCTCCAAGTGCAGCGGAAGCTACTCCTGTCTATGTATTCATAACCAACCACTTTAAATAATACTGCTGCCACAAAATAGAACTAATAAAATGTGTTTGCATCCTTGTCTTCCATTTCTGTACCGGTGGGTTCCTTTTGCCCTGACTTTGTGTGCATGATCTGGTTGGGTAAGATAATATCTTCTTGCTCAGCTTTTTTTAATTTACTCAGTTATTTATATATTATATAGCTCAGTGTTTCTCAAACATTTTGATCAAAAGTGTTGTTCACCTTAAGGGCCTAAAGTTTAATGCAAGATTAGATGATCTAATATTTGCTTGCGTTTTCCTTTGTAAATTTTTTTTTATTAGTAGTTTTTTTTAAAAATTTGTTCTTGATTTATTCTGTTTTATAATTTTTCCAAGCATATTCAGTGTAAATGTTTCAACATGTAAATTTAATTCTTGGTGACACTAAGTCATTTGTCTTCTTCTCCACGTTCACCAGCTGTAAACTCCAGTAGAAAGTTCTGGTTGTTCATCCACTTCTGGACTTTTGGACTTTAGTTTTGTTCCAGAACTTGAGTTTTGCATGCACATCCATTTTACAGACCTGGCTTTTTTGTAAGCAAATGTTGGTTCTTCCCTTCTCTTTTAGATGCACTTCCAGCTTCAAAAGAAAAACACCCTTATGTAGTCACCTTTTATAACATGCAGTGGATCTATTCCTGTTTACCCCAAAATGGGGCCCTGAAACCCACATGGTTGCTAAGTCAGACATAAGACTTAGTGTGAATTGGTTGAGATAAAGGGTAGAAGGAACAAAGACAGTTTCCGATACCAGAAACTTAGACCACACAGGATGTCCAGGAGAAGATTAAAAACAAGCTAGTGAGGCAGAAGAATATCATGAAGTGATCTGGTCAGATTGTTGCTTCCTGAAAACTGACCCAAAAAAATTGACCCCGGCCCTGCTGCAATTCCAGAAAAATCAGTAAAAATATATATATATGTAAGGATGGAGTACTCAATGAAAATAAACAGGCGAAGCAATTAGATAGAATATATTCTGCAGGGCATTAAACGCATTAAAAAAAACATATGCATTGGGTGACTCGTGTAGTGATCTCGTTACTTCTATCAATGAGGAGGCATACGTGAAAATTTGACATCAGATTTGTTTGTTTTTTAAAGCTGTTTGGCCGAAAGGAAACCTCCCCATAATGCTATTTTTAATTAATAATTTCATATCCTGACCTCATATGTGTTTGGCAGGAGTGAAAACCGCCAATAGCCTTAACTTTGTTCTTGTAAATAGGTCACTATAGGCAAATCAGAATTGTGGCATTTTTTTGGAATTGGACTTAGCCAATAGTCTTAATTTTGCGGTTTCTCATGCGAAAGGGGCTAAAAGCAGCTGGGACAGAAGGATTTCAAGAAGTTGCATGGTCAGAAGGATTTCAAGCATCAGGACAAAAGGGTGTCACGGGAGCAAATGAAACAGAAGGATTTCAATAAACGGTCCATGTAGAAGGATTTCAATAAACGGTCCATGTAGAATGATTTCAATAAACGGTCCATGTAGAAGGATTTCAATAAACGGTCCATGTAGAAGGATTTCAATAAACGGTCCATGTAGAAGAATTTCAATAAACGGTCCATGTAGAAGGATTTCAGTAAACGGTCCATGTAGAAGGATTTCAATAAACGGTCCATGTAGAAGGATTTCAATAAACGGTCCATGTAGAAGGATTTCAATAAACGGTCCATGTAGAAGGATTTCAATAAACGGTCCATGTAGAAGGATTTCAATAAACGGTCCATGTAGAAGGATTTCAATAAACGGTCCATGTAGAAGGATTTCAATAAACGGTCCATGTAGAAGGATTTCAATAAACGGTCCATGTAGAAGGATTTCAATAAACGGTCCATGTAGAAGGATTTCAATAAACGGTCCATGTAGAAGGATTTCAAGAAGCAACTAGGACAGAAAGATATAAAGAGACAATTAGTATAGAGTAATTATCACAGAAGTATTTGAAAAAAGTTACCAATATTTTGCCTACAACCGAAGTTTATAGGTAATTAGAACAAGGATTTGAAAAAAGCTTCAATTTTGTGCCTACAACCAAAACATCTATCATTGAGACACATTAAGCTCAAGGTGGAATATTTCAGTTCTGTTTTGCAAAGGTAGACTACAAATCAGAGTCCGTTTTAGGATAGATATTGAATGGAAATATGGAAAGAAAGAATTTCAAAGTATTAATTCTCCGCTGTGAATTGGATACAAAGAAGAGACAAACAATAGATTGCACAATTTCTGGGCACTCTGTAAGCAGAGATGTTGCATTTTGATTCTGTATCCCGCAGACTATTGGGATTCATGCAAGCAACAGCTATAACCCGGTTCAGTCTCTAATTTTTCAGCTGAAAGAACAGGGTCATCAGCTGTTGGTTGTCCTGATAAAACAGGCAGTTACTTGTGAATGTGGCTGATTTTATGTTTCATTTACGATTATTTATATGCTTTATTTTAATTAATTGTTACTGTAGTATACACCTGAAGAGATACAGCGAAATATGCCAGACAGTAAATTGTGCAATCAATTTGTGTGTGTGTCTTCTTTGTTCAAAGAAAGAATGGATAAATCTGTGAGTTGTGATACCCCTGTCATAAACCCAAAAAATAGTTGGACGCATTTGTGATATTATCAGAATGTCATAAAGTGACCCTGGGCTGTTAAAAACTTGAGAAACACTGGTCAATGCTGCTTCTTGCGCAGCAGTTCAAGATAATATTTGCTAACCAAATCATAAAGGGTATTATTGTTTGCATATATAAAGTAGACATTAACATTGGAAGTGCTTCTTAGAATATCAGTCATCTAACAGTGAACCTGTATTCACATTGCTGTTTATACACACCCTTATATGAAACTTTCATTTTACCCAGTATTTGTGTGAGGGTTTTCTCAAATCTAAGTAATAACAGTTTATTGTCTTTGTATCTGTTAGCCTGCTTACCTATTTGCCTACATGCAAACCTACCGGCTTACCAACATACCAAGCTGCCTACCAACATAGCAGTGTGAAAAACTACCCACTTTCCAACATATCCACCTGTCTAACAACATAGCTACATGTAAACCAACATCCTTTCCAATTCAACTGGCTGCCTGCCAACATACCTACCTGCCTACCAACATAGCTATGTGAAAAACTACATACTACCCAGCATTTCTATGTGCCTACCAACATATTTTCCTAGCTGTCTTCCATTTTACCCACTTACGCGTCTACAACTGTACATACTTACAACCTAGCTACTGTCCCCATGTCTTATCATATAATCTTCTGCAAATTGAACTACCTATAGTATTGACTGTCTCTGTTTATGACCTTGCTGTCTGTGGCCCTTCCACCACCATTCCTACCCTCTTCTGGAATCATTGGCTCCCTATTTTCAACTTTTCTGTGATTGATTTAATTTCCTTCCCTTTCCCTTAACCTTTTTTTTTCTCTCCTTCCCTCGGACTTAATTCCTTCCCTTTCCTCTTGTTCTCCTTTCATCTTTCTTTCTCTCCTTCCCTCGATTTCTCTGTCTGCCTTTCTTTTTCCTTTTTTCTCTTCCCCTTCATTCCCTCTCTTTCTTTTTTATCTCCAACTCTGTATCATTGTGTCCATGTTTTCCTTCTTCCTCTGGTTCTCTCTCTTTGTCTTCTTTACCTCTGTCTACTTGTGACAGTCTTTCTCTCTTCTTCCCCCCCCCCCCCCCCCCCCATTTACAACTTACTATATTTTAAATATAGAGGTAATGTGTCAAGGAATTCTCTGACTGTCCCTATTATTTAGTTTCTAAGATGCTACGGCAGTTGGAATAATTTAGTATAGATGTAATGTTTCACACTCTGATATAAAAACTATCTGATTTTTTTTTAATTTGACATTATTCTCTAAGTAGTCTTTTAAATCTTATAGTCTTTTTTTAAAAGGCTTTTGTTAAAAACTTTTTTATTTTTTTAAACATCTAGATGCAATTTGTTTTTATTCCTTATTCTTTTTTTCTAGGATTTTTTTTTTGACGGCTGATGTATTTATTTAGATCTAGTTAGCTTTAATGGTTAAACCGATTTATCCATTTTAGTATTGAGAGTAAAAACAGATTATAAACAGCATATTCACACCAGTACTGTACTGCCAGTGCCAGACTTAGACATTATCAAATGCTAACTTACGTAAAATAAAAACCTGTGAAATGAGATGCCTGAGAAAAGTCACCAACTTAACCATCTGAGACAAAGTTAGAAATGATATTATCAGACAGACTGTAGGGACAACACCATGCAGCAAATTCATTGAGAAACAGATTAGATGTTTTGGTTATGTAGTTAAAAATACTGCCAGAACAACTACCAACAGGCACTACACATGAAAAGATCTGGATTGAAACCAAGCGCTCACTCTACAAGGCAATGGATTGATGACATTAAAGAGCTTCTGCAGTCGAGTCTGGATAAGTAGAAGTCGCAGGGACCTAAGAAAAGGCTTCCACTTATCAGGATTTCTACTTATCCCGACAGCACACACAGAGAGAAAATTGCCAGGACTAAACTGGTCATATCGACTTAACCGAAATTAGATTCGACTTATCCGAGTTCGACTTAAGTGGACTCGACTGTTCATCAACACGGAATGACAGTAGTCATAGCCGCCCATCAAGCAATGGATTGCAAACTGTTCCTCTCCATGACAGAATGGAGGGGATTAAGTGGTATGATAGGATTACTGGTTTGGAGCTATGGTAGAGAACTGGACAAATGCCAGTGGATCAGGAGGTGAGGAAAAGATGCTGGTGTTGGATATAACACTTGAGAAAATCTGAGAGCACTATAACTAGAGTGTCTTTACCCAGGAACTCACTGGGAAAATGGAGCTAGAGAATGAAGTTACCAGGTAAAAAGATAACATCGAGTGAGCTGCATGTGGTAGCAAAGAATAGAATAGCATGGCATGAGTTGCTTGAGGGCCTGTGCTCCATAGGGGGATAAAGGCCAGAAGAAAAACAATTTATAATACATTACTAACAGGCAAATTAAAGTATAACAGAAAATAGTGAGATTATGCATCTTTTTTTTTTCTTTCTCCCATATGTGGATTCTGTCTTGGATGATGCTACTTCATTTATACCATTTTTTAGAAAAAACATTAAAAGAAGACATGTTTTTTTTTAAACGTATATTGATTGTTATAAATTATACTTTTCCCTGCTACAGATGACTATGTTCTCAACTTTGGCATTACTTGTCTCATTCACAGTGATCCCTGAACAACCACGCACCCGCCCTGAACGGTCTCCGATGTTACCAAAGTTAGGCATTAACAGTTCCAGTCGAGATACCCCAAATGTGAAGAAACGGCACCGGCGCGCCAAGAGTAGTGGTATTAAAAATTCAAACCCAGGAGACGGTGACGGTGAGTTCCAGATGTTAGTGCTCCTTATGTGTACCATAGTTGTTTGGTAATGCTGGGTTGTCCTTTTTCTCCTTCTTGGTTTCGGGTCCCCATGATGAGGTGGTCACGCCATTTGCCTCGCTTGCGGGTTCATTTCATGGCTGTGTCATTCCTTGCGCAAGTTCTTTATTTCTCTATACTTTATGTGCGTGTATCTCTCTCTCTCTCTCTCTCTCTCTCTCTCTCTCTCTCTCTCTCTCTCTCTCTCCCCCCCCCCTCTCTCTCTCTCTCTCTGTCTCTGTCTCTTTCTGTCTCTCTCCCCCCTCTCCCTCTCTCCCTCCCTCCCCCTCTCTCTCTCTCTCTCTCTATCTCTCTCTATCTCTCTCTCTCCCTTCCACCTTTGTGAGAGAGAGAGTTTTTCTACAAGAGGTTGGGGAGAGAGAAAGAGTTTAGGAGAGAGAGTTTATATCTCTGCATAAGTTTATTCTTATTCATTAATATCTTATATCTGTTTCACAGATTCTGATGGCTATGAATTTGTGATTGTCTCACTGGAAAATAAACAGTGGCATTTTGAGGCCCAGAGTGGGGAAGTAAGTATCACAATAGGAAATTTAGGTTGAATTTGGATTCTGTGCAGAGAAGTTGAGGTCCTATGCAGTGAAGTTACACAATACATATTGGTGTTTGAATTTGTTTAAACATTTAAATAAACGTGAGAGACAGCAGTGAAATTCATCATCTTTTAAATCACCAGTTATCACTGGCATCGTAAGGGTTAATTGACTGAAATGGCTGGGGCATGTAGGGACAATGGCAGGTGACAGAGAGGCAAACACTGTGTAAGCAGGGCAGTTGAATGGGAGTTGACCACGAGGCAGACCAAGAAGACTGTGAAGAGATCATTTACAAGCGGCCCTACAAACAATTGGGGGTACCCATTGGAAATAGAGGGCCAATCACAGAAGTGAATGGAGGCGGGTAAAATTTTCGGCAGTGAACATCGAGGCCTCAGAATGCTGAAGGAGATGAAGAAATTGAGATCAGCTTGGGGAAGTCAGATGTTGTGAGTGAAAGAGCTGGTGCAGAGTGAGAAAGTTGAATTCTTGAGTGTGACAAGTATAGCTACTGAGCTTAGAAGTTGAGTTGTGTTCTAGTATTATTTTTCTTTTCTTCTTCTTGGTGTTCACCGGCTGTGAACTCCAGCAGAAAGTTCTGGTTGTTCTTCCACCTCTGGACTTAAGATGTGTTCCAAAACTTGAGTGTTGTATGCACATCGAGCTGTTTTTTTACGTACACTGTTGGTTCCTTACCTCTCAGGCAGATGTACTCTGATTTCGAAAGAGACCCCTAATTAGTCAACTCCTAGGACTTGCTTGTTAGGGAGGCAGTGGATCTATTCCCCCCGCCCCAACAGTGGGACCCTGAAACCCACAAAGGGAGTATTCTAGAATCAGAGCTGTATTAAAGTATCAGAGTTGTATAGAAGTATCAGAGCTGTATTGAAGCAACAGAGCTGTATTGAAGCAACAGAGCTGTATTGAAGTAACAGAGCTGTATTGAAGAATCAGAGCTGTATTGTAGTATCAGAGCTGTATTGAAGTATCAGAGCTGTATTGAAGTATCAGAGCTGTATTGTAGTAACAGAGCTGTATAGAAGTATCAGAGCTGTATTGAAGTAACAGAGCTGTATTGAAGTAACAGAGCTGTATAGAAGTAACAGAGCTGTATTGAAGTATCAGAGCTGTATTGAAGTAACAGAGCTGTATTGAAGTAACAGAGCTGTATAGAAGTAACAGAGCTGTATAGAAGTAACAGAGCTGTATTGAAGTAACAGAGCTGTATAGAAGTAACAGAGCTGTATAGAAGTAACAGAGCTGTATTGAAGTAACAGAGCTGTATTGAAGTAACAGAGCTGTATAGAAGTAACAGAGCTGTATTGAAGTATCAGAGCTGTATAGAAGTATCAGAGCTGTATTGTAGTATCAGAGCTGTATTGAAGTAACAGAGCTGTATAGAAGTAACAGAGCTGTATTGAAGTAACAGAGCTGTATAGAAGTAACAGAGCTGTATAGAAGTATCAGAGCTGTATTGAAGTAACAGAGCTGTATAGAAGTAACAGAGCTGTATAGAAGTAACAGAGCTGTATAGAAGTAACAGAGCTGTATAGAAGTAACAGAGCTGTATAGAAGTATCAGAGCTGTATAGAAGTAACAGAGCTGTATAGAAGTATCAGAGCTGTATTGAAGTAACAGAGCTGTATAGAAGTAACAGAGCTGTATAGAAGTATCAGAGCTGTATAGAAGTAACAGAGCTGTATTGAAGTATCAGAGCTGTATTGTAGTATCAGAGCTACATTGAAGTATCAGAGCTGTATAGAAGTAACAGAGCTGTATAGAAGTATCAGAGCTGTATTGAAGTATCAGAGCTGTATAGAAGTATCAGAGTTGTATTGAAGTAACAGAGCTGTATTGTAGTATCAGAGCTACATTGAAGTATCAGAGCTGTATTGAAGTAACAGAGCTGTATAGAAGTATCCGAGCTGTATTGTAGTATCAGAGCTGTATTGAAGTAACAGAGCTGTATAGAAGTAACAGAGCTGTATTGTAGTATCAGAGCTACATTGAAGTATCAGAGCTGTATTGAAGTAACAGAGCTGTATAGAAGTATCACCCTTGAGTTTGTCAGAAGTCTGTATATTGTTCATGTGCTACATACTTTGTGATATGAGAATGTTGTTCTTCCCTTGCTGCAGGATCGTGATGGTTGGGTAGATGCCATAGAGCAGCAGATATTGTCTAGTCTACAGGCAAATGATGCTGGCAAAAATAAAGTAAGCTTTCATTTAGAAAATAATGACTATATCATGTGTGTGTGTGCAAAATTATTGATGAGTCTGTGTTTGTATTTATGATACTCTCTGTCTATCCCCCTCTCTCCTCCCCTCTCGATTTAAACTAGATAAAACAGGATAGAATTCGAGAATTTGGAAAAAGTCCAGTTCCAGTAAATCATAACTGCATGTGAATCAGGGTGGTATCATGTTGTTTGTCCCCTTACAAATGGACCTTTGTTGAACATTTTAACATGTGTCCAGAAAGAAAGAAAAATCATAAGCAGCATAACACTTGTCAATGTTCTGCATATTGTTACTTTATTACTGTAAAGTTATTTGGCTGACTGATGTAGGCTGTCAGTTTCTTTTAATTATTTTTATGTTTGATTTTTCAGAAACTGAATAATTGTGACAGAGCAGGAATCCAAGCCATACGGTGTACAAGTGGCAATAATGCTTGTGCTGACTGTGGTGCCCCCAGTGAGTTTTATTTTTAATAGAGAGAGAGAGAGAGCGAGGGGAGAGAGAGAGAGAGTGAGAGAGAGAGAGTGAGAGAGAGATAAAGAGTGAGAGAGAGAAAGTGAGAGAGAGTGAAAGAGAGAGAGAGTGAGAGAGTGTGAGAGAGAGAGAGCGAGAGAGAGAGAGATAGTGAGAGAGAGAGAGATAGTGAGAGAGAGAGATAGTGAGAGAGAGAGAGAGTGAGAGAGAGAGAGAGAGATAGTGAGAGTGAGAGAGAGAGACAGCGAGAGAGAGAGAGAGAGAGATAGTGAGAGAGAGAGAAAGATAGTGAGAGAGAGAGAGAGTGAAAGAGAGAGAGTGAAAGAGAGAGAGAGAGAGAGAGAGAGATAGTGAGAGAGAGAGATAGTGAGAGAGAGAGAGATAGTGAGAGAGAGAGAGAGAGAGAGATAGTGAGAGAGAGAGCGAGAGAGAGAGATAGTGAGAGTAAGAGAGAGAGAGACAGCGAGAGAGAGAGAGAGAGAGAGAGAGAGATAGTGAGAGAGAGTGAGAGAGAGAGAGAGACTCAGAAGAGAGACAGACATAGAGAAAAGAGACAGGCATAGAGAATAGAGACAGGCATAGAGAATAGAGACAGGCATAGAGAAAAGAGACAGGCATAGAGATAAGAGACAGGCATAGAGAAAAGAGACAGGCATAGAGAATAGAGACAGGCATAGAGAATAGAGACAGGCATAGAGAATAGAGACAGACATAGAGAATAGAGACAGACATAGAGATAAGAGACAGACATAGAGAAAAGATACAGTCATAGAGAAAGAAGAGACAGACGCTCAATGTGTGACTATGCATCAGTAGCTTTGCTAATTAGAGCAAGGAAAGCTCACTTCCTTGTGCTCTGTTTGATTTCGGCTTTCGTTGATGATCCACTGCAATTCTTTGTCGGCCTGTTGGTGTTAGCAGCTCTCAGGGCGACCATTGTGTGCTGTTGGCTTTGCCATGACTGGTCTATTCGACATTTTACATGGGACAGTTATAGGCGTCTGTTTGGTTTTCGCTGACACTGGAATGGGGCGTCATGATTGGTCTGAAGTTTGAACTGTGACCAGCCAGCAAATATATTTGATGTCGTATCTAACAATCACAGTTCCAACTTCATAGGAGTCGTGTCACCCCATAGTTTCTCCAGTCCTTGAAAGTCTGCTACTGTCTCTTGTGAATAAATTGATGCAGACTGCGGTCTCAGCAAAGCCAAAAGCACAGACACACACACACGCGCGCAAGTTAAGTGCATAAGGCAGCTGTCATATTTCCTTCATATGAGTTATCATTTACTTTGTTGTGTGAATCGATCATGTGCCCTCTCCACAATGAAAGTTGGCTGCAATGGATCTCCAACACTCTCTGTCTCTCATCTTGGACATACATTGTCTCAGACTGTTGTTTGTCCATCTCTGGATCTTATCATTGTCTACTTTTTATTCACCTGCCTACATTTCCCTTCCGATGTAAATTTTTTTTTTTTTATGTATGTTTTTATCTGGCTAAAATATTTCACTGTTTTTTATTTCAGCAACTGTCTTTTCCTTGCCAGGTTTCTTCAGAACCTACATATTTAATTGTTTTTGTTTTTGGGACACATGACCAACTCTTATGTCTATCCACATCTGTGGAGAAATTGAACTTTATTTTATGCGGATTTTTTAAGTTTGTTTGTTTTTAATTAAACAAAAATTTTTTTTTTTTTTTTTCAGGTCCAGACTGGGCCAGTATAAACTTAGGTGCTTTAATATGTATTGAGTGTTCAGGGATACATCGCAATCTAGGGACTCACATATCCAGGGTTCGATCGCTTGATCTCGATCAGTGGCCGTAAGTATCATTTTTTTTTAGGGGGGGGGCTCTTTAGTTTTCTTTTTGGCGTGACTCTTTATTCCTTTATTGTGACTGTTTATTTCTTTGATGTAACTCTTTATTGCTTTGGTGTGACTCTTCATTACCTTGGCACGACTCTTTATTCCTTTGGTGTGACTTTATTCCTTTGATGTGACTCTTTTTTCCTCTGGTGTGACTCTTCCTCTGGTGTGACTCTTTATTCCTTTGATGTGGCTCTTTATTCCTTTGGTGTGACTCTTTATTCCTTTGATGTGACTCTTTATTCCTTTGATGTGACTGTTTATTCCTTTGACGTGACTCTTTATTCCTTTGATGTGACTCTTTATTCCTTTGATGTGGCTCTTTATTCATTTGATGTGGCTCTTTATTCCTTTGATGTGACTCTTTATTCCTTTGATGTGACTCTTTATTCCTTTGATGTGACTCTTTATTCCTCTGATGTGGCTCTTTATTCATTTGATGTGGCTCTTTATTAATTTGATGTGGCTCTTTATTCCTTTGGTGTGATCTTAATAGAAAAAGAGTGGATTGGAGGTGGTGGTCATTTCAGGCTCCCCCATCCCCAACGACTAGGTCCTTATTCTTTCTATATCTACTTTTCTGCCCTTCCAATCTGATCCACATTTTGTTTTTTTTTTTTTCTTTCTCACAGAAATGACATAGTTAAAGTGATGGTGTCAATAGGCAACGGAACCGTCAACAGTGTCTGGGAGGCAAATACTAAAGGTCGGCCTAAGCCCACACCAAGCTCTCTGAGGTATTTGTACATGTTTTTTTTCCCTTCAAATTCTTGTTATAAAAAGAGCTGCATAGTGTTTGAACTCATTTCTCCATCTTTCATTTGTTTTGTAATGAGTATCAGTTATTACTGGAGTGTTTATTTTTATCATAATGTATACTGTTTAATTTTAAAACCTGGTTTCAGCTGGTAAACCTCATTGCAAACAAACAAAATACTTTTAAAGGGTCACAAAATGAGCACGTAAGCCTGTCATATATTCTGCCCTTTTGATCTCACTGCTCACATATATCATTGCATTCATACATCAGTTAGCAGTATACTCAACACATACTCAACATACTCAACATGTAATCCTTAGTCACAGTTGCTGAGATATGCTGTAACTACACACACATTTCTATAACCTAAAAATACTAAGTATAGTAGGTGTGATAAATCTGGGGCAGCCATAATATGTTTAAAAGTGTTATCTTTTAAGACGGTGTATATATTCTGTGCTGAGGTAAAATTCAAATAGTTTCCCCTTGTATGTATAGGGGTTACTGATAGGGGGGGGGCAAGAGGAAGACGGGCAAAAACACAGACCTGGTGATTTAGATGACTGACCCTGTCAGCATGGGACGTGATGGTGATAGCGTTGACTGCAATCGAGGTTGAAGAGGAATGGTGAAATTCCTTTAATTAGGGTAACGGTGTCCATTAGGATATCCTCCATCTCCTGCCTGGTCTGGACCACAGGTTACTTCATAACTGCCGGAGGCCGCAGTGTGATCTTATGGCTGAGCAGGGCTTACTAGGATTTGCACACGTAAGATTCTCATCCTTGAGGTCTTGATCCTGTGAACTGCCATCCTGGAGGAAATTAACTGATCTTGGAGGAAACAAACTGTGATCCTGGAGGGAACAAACTGTGATCCTGGAGGGAACAAACTGTGATCCTGGAGGGAACAAACTGTGATCCTGGAGGATACAAACTGTGATCCTGGAGGGAACAAACTGTGATCCTGGAGGATACAAACTGTGATCCTGGAGGGAACAAACTGTGATCCTGGAGGGAACAAACTGATCCTGGAGGATACAAACTGTGATCCTGGAGGATACAAACTGTGATCCTGGAGGGAACAAACTGTGATCCTGGAGGATACAAACTGTGATCCTGGAGGATACAAACTGTGATCCTGGAGGATACAAACTGTGATCCTGGAGGATACAAACTGATCCTGGAGGGAACAAACTGTGATCCTGGAAGGGAACAAACTGTGATCCTGGAAGGGAACAAACTGCAATTCTGGAGGGAACACACTGCGGTCCTGGTGGGAGAACACTGCGATCCCGGTGGAAACAGACTGCAATCCTGGAGGGAACAAATAGCAGTGCAAGAGATCCTCCTCTGCCTGCCTTTATTGACAAGAAACTATGCCAACAACTATCTGTCGGCTGCTCCCAGGTCTGATCCACGACCTTCTCCTCTGCCTGCCATCATTGACAAGAAACCATGCCAACAACTATCTGTCGGCTGCTCCCAGGTCTGATCCACGACCTTCTCCTCTGCCTGCCATCATTGACAAGAAACCATGCCAACAACTATCTGTCGGCTGCTCCCAGGTCTGATCCACGACCTTCTCCTCTGCCTGCCATCATTGACAAGAAACCATGCCAACAACTATCTGTCAGCTGCTCCCAGGTCTGATCCACGACCTTCTCCTCTGCCTGCCATCATTGACAAGAAACCATGCCAACAACTATCTGTCGGCTGCTCCCAGGTCTGATCCACGACCTTCTCCTCTGCCTGCCATCATTGACAAGAAACCATGCCAACAACTATCTGTCGGCTGCTCCCAGGTCTGATCCACGACCTTCTCCTGTTTCTTTACCTTTCCCTGATGAAGAGGAGGGCTAAATGGGTACTCTGCAAATAAAACCAACTAAATAGTTGCAAAGTAGACTACAGCGTCAGTGATGACAGACTGAAACAACCTGTAACATACCTCTCCCCCTCTTCCTCTTCTTCTTCACAGCTGTAAACTTCAGCAAGGGGTTCTGGTTGTTCATCCTTTCTTGGTCTTTGGTCTTGCTTGTTCCAGAACATCAAATTTTGCCTCCACGTCAGTTTTACAGATCTGCCTTATTTTATTTACATGCTAAATAATGGCTCCTGGCCTCTCAGGCAGATGCACTTTACCTTGGTAGAAACACCCCTGATTAGTTGATTTTTGCAACAGGCTTGTTAGTGGGGAGGAGGGGGGGGAGGCAGTTGGTCTACACTCTCCCTCCCCTCCCCCTCCCCCCTCCAAACAGGGCTCTAGAACCCAAACAGGGAGGTATGATACCTAAAAACATATAAAAATCTACGGTTTATCTGTACACTAGACAACTTTGTAGTCTCAAGGCATGGCGTCAGCCCCGAGTGCTGGAGGTCCCGGGTTCAGACCCCAATGAAGGCTGGGATTTTCACATGGACCTAGTCATTTCCCCTGGTCTCTGGGTAGTAGGATCGGACGCCTATGTGTATTGCTGCGTATGTTAAAAAAATCCCTTGGGATTTGGTAATCGAAAAAAGTTGCCTAATGGTGCTGCCCGGCTAAATTTAGAGTTAAAAATCTACCCAAAGTATTTTAGGATCCCCATCAGTGCTACAGAGTTCGTGCACTGCGCCGAGATTGTTGAGACTCGGACTTGAGCACTTATAGGTTACTAGCCTTATGCCATGATGTTGATCCGTTGTTTAAACTTAAACCTTTAAGCCTAAGTGTGCACTCATTTATAGGCTACATTTTCTCACAGAACCAACGGTAACACTGCAGCTAGGTACTTATGTATCATATTCATGGCATTGTGGTGCTGGGGTGTCTGTGGATTACCTACCTCCCCGGGCAGCAGCTAGAAATGCCCTGTACTAGTTCTAAAGTAAATATGGGTCGTGTTTCTGCCTTTCCCTTTCTCTCTAGAAAGGTGGGGCTCACAGTGTGCTCATCCCCGCCACCAGATTGCCTGCAGGTTTCGCTGAGCTCTTCATCTCTCTAAGCATGGCCTAAGCTGAGTAGTTGGGGCAACTCTCTCACTCCTGAGTCCCTCTCCTTCACGATAGTTTCCGGTATTCAGGGGGGTTAGCATACTTGTTTCCATTCCTAAGACTGTTCAGCACACTCTGGCTCTCTCTCTCCCACAGGGGGCAGTACCACCGGGTTTATTATCGAGGTTTGCTCCTCTAGATCCATTGTGTTTTGCTGGGGATTTCGCACCCCCAGTTACCGGGACTACCTCGGGGAGGCTGTGACTCTTCGCCACGCACAATGGTCTTGAGGTAAGAGAGGTTTTGCTAGGTCAAGAGGCTGACACCACAATGGACGCTCCTTTCGTGAACAGATATTCACTAGACCTAGGGTGAAGTAAGGGGGTACTTATGTATCTACAGGCATCAACATCTATATTCTCTCTACACACACAAACACAGTATGCTCGTTGTCTTTCTCTCTCTCTCTGTCTAATCCTCTCTCTCTCTTAATCTCTCTTCTTCTTTCTCTCTCTCTCCTCTCTCTCTCTCTCTAGAGACGAAAAGGAGAAGTCTCTTATTCTCTCATTCTCTTTCTCTCTACCACCTTTACCTTACATATCTCTCATTCTCTTTCTCTGTCTGTCGCAGCATTCTTGGCTCTCTCTCTCTCCCCCAATCTCTCTGTCGTTCTCTTATTCTCTTTCTTTCTATTTATCTCTCTATCTGTAGGCTACATCTGTCTGTACTAATAATAACCCAAAGCCGTAAGAGAATAGACTAGTTAGAAATATAAAGTACCTCTCCCACTGGAGCGGGTAAGTTGAAGATGTGATTCAACAGCATGTGTAATGCTTACATTGTTTTTTCCTACCCCTTTTCTTCCAGAGACGAAAAGGAGAAGTGGATTCGGACAAAATACGAGGCAAAAGAATTTCTACCACCTTTACCTTACATAGATATTCCAATTAACCAGGTAAGATCCCTGCTTGGATTCAGAATCAGCTGTTGGTCTTTCAACACATGGTAGTAGAGTCAGGTGTTTCAGTCCCAAAACTGGTAGTAGGGTCGTGTGTTTCAGTCCCAAGACTTGTAGTAGGAACAGGTGTTTTAGTCCCAAAACTGGTAGTAGGGTCCGGTGTTTTAGTCCCAAGACTGGTAGTAGGGTCCTGTGTTTTAGTCCCAAGACTTGTAGTAGGGTCCGGTGTTTTAGTCCCAAGACTGGTAGTAGGGTCCGGTGTTTTAGTCCCAAGACTGGTAGTAGGGTCAGGTGTTTTAGTCCCAAGACTGGTAGTAGGGTCAGGTGTTTCAGTCCCAAGACTGGTAGTAGGGTCAGATGTTTCAGTCCGAAGACTGGTAGTAGGGTCAGGTGTTTCAGTCCCAAGACTGGTAGTAGGGTCAGATGTTGCAGTCCCAAGACTGGTAGTAGGGTCAGGTGTTTCAGTTCCAAGACTGTAGTAGGGTCAAATGGTGGCAAATAAAAGCTGATGGCTTTCAAGCTGATGGCATTCAAGCTGGTGGCTTTATGGACTGTTGATTAACTGCATGGCCTCCAAGGAGATCTTATCCCAAGCTTTTGTCCTTGGCACAAAGGCTTCTTGGTTGGGCAAAGAAGTGAGAGCCAAAGCACTGAACATCCTGTTTCGTTGGATATCAGGCAGGGAGGGGGGGGACTTAGCGTCACTCTCAAAGAAAGAAGATTCTTACTCCTTTGTTGTGCTTAGTCGTGAAGGTATATTGATGGAAGCACTAGCATATAAAACCTGCCTGCTTTCTTTGTTTTCTGCTTAATGAATAAGTGTATGATAACTTGGTCCTGTCCATTTCTTGATGTTGTCATACCAGGTTCTTCTTTGCCCTCCTCTTCTTTGACTACTCCTCCCCACCCCCTTAAAGTTCCATTGTCTTTGCAATCAAATCATGTTTCACCACATAGTTAGTTAGTTAGTTAGTTAGTTAGTTGGGTTATCCTCATTGCACTCCGGACATGTCCATAGGTGCTCAGATCCTCCCCTCAGTATGAACCCCAACGTCCGATGGTTAATAGTACCATGTTTCACCACATGCTTAGATAAACCAAAATAAGAATATAAAAAAAGTAAGAAGATATGTGCAGTGGCTGGTTTCAAGTTGAGAAGCTAATCACTCATTAAATGTTGCTTGGGACTGAAGGAGTTAAATTACCTTTTCCTCAGCAACTCATTGATGCTCTGGTCCGTGAAGACATCAGAAATATCATCATCATCCTTGGCCATGCTGAACCTGAGGATATTAATGCCCCCTACAGCAAAGATGACGGCCGAACAGCTCTCCACATAGCAGCAGCTCTTGGCAATGTTGTCTTTGTTCAGTTGTTGTTATGGGTAAGCCGACATTTTCTGTCAGTCTTATTTCAGTTGTTGTGAGTGAGCTAGAATTTCTTGTCAAGTTTGTGCAGTTGTTGTTGTGGGTAAGCTAGAATCTCTTGTAAAGTTTGTTCAGTTGTTGTTCTGAGAAAGCTAGAATCTCTTGTAAAGTTTGTTCAGTTGTTGTAAGAGCAAGCTAGAATCTCTTGTAAAGTTTGTTCAGTTGTTGTAAGAAAGCTAGAATCTCTTGTCAGTTTGTTCAGTTGTTGTGAGAAAGCTAGAATCTCTTGTCAGTTTGTTCAGTTGTTGTGAGAAAGCTAGAATCTCTTGTAAAGTTTGTTCAGTTGTTGTGAGTAAGCTAGAATCTCTTGTCAAGTGTGTTCAGTTGTTGTGAGAAAGCTAGAATCTCTTGTCAGTTTGTTCAGTTGTGAGAAAGCTAGAATTTCTTGTCAGTTTGTTCACTTGTTGAGAGAAAGCTAGAATTTCTTGTCAAGTTTGTTCAGTTGTTGTGAGAAAGCTAGAATTTCTTTTCAGTTTGTTCATTTGTTGTGAGTAAGCTAGAATTTCTTGTCAGTATGTTCACTTGTTGTGAGAAAAATAAGAATTTCTTGTCAGTTTGTTCAGTTGTTGTGAGAAAGCTAGAATGTCTTGTCAGTTTGTTCAGTTGTTGTGAGAAAGCTAGAATCTCTTGTCAGTTTGTTCAGTTGTGAGAATTTCTTGTCAAGTCTGTTCAGTTGTTATTGTGAGAAAGCTATAATTTCTTGTCAGTTTGTTCAGTTGTTATGAGAAAGCTAGAATTTCTTGTCAGATTGTTCAGTTGTTATGAGAAAGCTAGAATTTCTTGTCAGTTTGTTCAGTTGTTGTGAGAAAGCTAGAATTTCTTGTCAGTTTGTTCAGTTGTTATGAGAAAGCTAGAATTTCTTGTCAAGTTTGTTCAGTTGTTGTGAGAAAGCTAGAATTTCTTGTCAGTTTGTTCACTTGTGAGTAAGCTAGAATTTCATGTCAGTTTGTTCAGTTGTTATGAGAAAGCTAGAATTTCTTGTCTAGTTTTTTCAGTTGTTGTGAGAAAGCTAGAATGTCTTGTCAGTTTGTTCAGTTGTTGTGAGAAAGCTAGAATTTTTTGTCAAGTTTGTTCAGTTGTGAGAAAGCTAGAATCTCTTGTCAGTTTGTTCAGTTGTTGTGAGAAAGCTAGAATTTTTTGTCAAGTTTGTTCAGTTGTGAGAAAGCTAGAATTTTTCGTCAGTGTGTTCACTTGTTGTGAGTAAGCTAGAATTTCTTGTCGGTTTGTTCAGTTGTTGTGAGAAAGCTAGAATTTCTTGTCAGTTTGTTCAGTTGTTGTGAGAAAGCTAGAATTTCTTGTCAGTGTGTTCAGTTGTTGTGAGAAAGCTAGAATTTCTTGTCAGTTTGTTCTTGCAATCTTTTTACAGTAACTTTGCTAGTTGTTAAAACCTATCCCAATAACAAAATCTGAACCTGCACAGTCTGTGGCGACAGCACTAGCTATGTAGAACATGCACAGTCTGTGGCGACAGCACTAGCTGTGTAGAATCTGCACCCGGTACCCACTCAAGGCTGGGACGACCTGGAAGCCAAGGTCCATTTTTTAAAAAGGCCGGCTCCTCCAGGGAGCGAACCCACGACTTTCCGATCCGCAGCGAGCGTCTAGCCGCTCCGCCACAGCAACCCCCACCCATCGAGAGTGTTTTGGATAATCATGTTGATGAGACTCCTCTATACTATCACAACTTGTGTCATGATGTTGTGTCCAAGGTCAGATCACTCTGTGTTCCCCACTTAATATTACCTCATTGTCCTCTTCTTCTTCTTATGCTCTTTACCCCCTAGTGGAGCATGGGAACTCAACCAACTCATGCCAAGTCATCCTTCTCTTTGCTGTTGCATACGGCTCACCTATGTCATGTCCTCACTGTCTTTTCAGCTTCACTTTCTAGCTCCCATTGCAGTGTGTGTGTGCATGTGCGCGTGCGAGTGGGGGAGAGGGGTTTTCTTTATTTGTGTACCCTTGTGGGTTCTATTGCAAAGACATTTTACTGATATTGTTCTCAGGTTTTCTCAACATGTGTTTTGGTCTAACACCAGCATCTTTTCTTCACCTGTTGGTTTATTTGATCTCTCTCCCAAAGCTCTACATTTATGGTATTTTCCTAGCATTTAATTTCCTATATTCTGCAGCGGCACCAGTTAATGAATGCTTATAGTTTATTAGCAACTCCCTTAATTGTCCTCCATGTTTGTGCTCCTTACAACAGTACAAATGTTACATTAGATTTACAAACTTTAAGTTTAGTATTATTTTTAAATTTTTTTTTTTTTACCTCCACAAATTTGTTAGTGAATAGAAATATTTTTAACAATTTCTAACAACCCTAGTTAACATCATGGCTTTGTTTTATTATCTAATTAATATTAACTGATGTTACTATACCGAATTTAACATTATTACCCTTTCTTAGTGTCTCTAGTGTAACAGTTACCCGTTATTACTATCCTCTTTATAACATAATAACCCTTTATTACTTTTCCTCAATATAACATAATTACCCTTTACTACTGTCCCCAGTGTAATATCATTACCATATGTTGCTGTATCACAGTATAACATAATTACCTTTTGCTATTGTCCTCATTGTAACATTGTAACCATTTGTTACTGTCCCACAGTATAACATAATTACCTTTTGTTACTGTCCTCATTATAACATTGTTACCATTTGTTACTGTCCCACAGTATAAGATAATTACCTGTTGATACTGTCCCATAGTGTAGCATAATTACCCATTGTTACTGTCCCTAGTACACAACATAATTTACCCTTTGCTACTGCCCCACAGTGTAACATAATTACCTGTTGATACTGTCCCATTGTGAAGCATAATTACCCATTGTTACTGTCTCTAGTACACAACATAACTTACCCCTTGCTACTGTCTCCAGTATAACATAACTACATTTTGTGACTGTCCCCAGTATAACATAACTACATTTTGTGACTGTCCCCAGTATAACATAACTACATCTTGTGACTGTCCCCAGTATAACATAACTACATTTTGTGACTGTCCCCAGTATAACATAACTACATGTTGTGACTGTCTCCAGTATAACATAACTACATTTTGTGACTGTCCCCAGTATAACATAACTACATTTTGTGACTGTCCCCAGTATAACATAACTACATGTTGTGACTGTCTCCAGTATAACATAACTACATTTTGTGACTGTCCCCAGTATAACATAACTACATTTTGTGACTGTCCCCAGTATAACATAACTACATCTTGTGACTGTCCCCAGTATAACATAACTACATGTTGTGACTGTCTCCAGTATAACATAACTACATTTTGTGACTGTCCCCAGTATAACATAACTACATCTTGTGACTGTCCCCAGTATAACATAACTACATTTTGTGACTGTCCCCAGTATAACATAACTACATCTTGTGACTGTCCCCAGTATAATGCCAATGTCAACGTTGTGGACCACGAGAATCGCAATGCCTTCTGGTATGCCAGAAGTTCTGGCTCTTCGGAATGCACCGAGCTGCTGGCAGCCAATGGGTGTGTGGAGCACCCTACGTTACCACGGCGACGAGGCAGCTCCCAGCCTGGCAAAAATGATGTGTTTGATAAGCTGCCTGCCAGTGTCATTTAAGTGTGTTCGTTCCAGGGATTCTATGAGCTTGTGTGAAAGAGAGAGAGGGAGAGACAGAGGATTAGAGGGTGTGTGAACAAGAAATGGGCATGCTACAATTGTATGAAATAAAGCCTCGATCTGATTGTATATATAGGTGATAAATGTCGAATGTCTGTGGTCGTGATAGACTATACATTTTGCCTGTAGACTGTTTTATCAACGGACTGTACATCTAATGTATGGACCCAAAGTTTAAACTGTAAACTGTGTTTTTTCTATTGACTAAACATTTTAACGATAGTCTATATGTTTTATTAGTAGGCAGTATGTTTTATCTGTAGACTAAACACATATATTTATATACAGGCTACACTTGTAATTTATAAACTAAATGTTTTTTGCAGGCTACAAGTCTTCTGTAACATAATCTGTACGCGGTACATTGCATATAGGCCACATTATCTATAACCTACTTACATGCGGATAATGTATGTCTGTAGGCTACACACATCATCCGTTTGTCATATCTTCAAAGCATGCAGTTGTTTAGTCTACACACAATATCTGGACACACACTTCTGTAAACTATAAATATCAGTTCTGTTTTCTTTTCTCATAGTGCATACTTACTTTATATTTCTTTCACTTGTATATCTTGGTAAAGTGATAAACCGTTTGCCTCATGCTCTGAAGGTCGTAGGATCGCTTAAGGGCTACATTTTTTTAGTTCACGGGTGCAATTTTTATGAAGAAGACCCTTGGGGATTATCGCTGGAGCTACAGTGTTCGTGCTTTGTGTAGTGCTCGTGGCAGGTGGCCAGCCACTCTCGGAGAGAGACTGAGCCATCAAAACTTTAACCTTTATCGCTTGCGAACTCAACATACATATTGACTTGTATAATAATGCATATATGCCTTGTTGTAACAGACAAATGGCAGGTTATTGTTTTGAAATATTTTTAATTTTACCCCCCCCCCCCTCCCCCATTACTATTCGAAAGATCAACACCAAGTGACTCGAAGAGCCATTATTTGGTGAGAATTCAACAGTATCATTACTTACCCTTAACAGTGGGGAGCCACTGTGGTGTAGTGGCTAGATGCATACCTGCAGGTCGTAAGTTCACATCCTCATGGAGCCTTTTTTTTTTCCCCCAAACATGACCTTGGTTCCCAGGTCCATCTAGCCTTTAATAGGTACCAGGTAAAGTCCTGGAAAGTAAAAGCGACCGGTGTGATGTTGACCACATCACCCATCAAGTGCTGATTGGCCTAATAAATGTGAGTCTGCCCTCTATGCCCGATTTGCCATTTTTCTTTATTCTTAACAATCTTGTCGTGAAAAGTGACTAATTGGTTGTATTGGACCAAAATGTGCACTCATCACAGCCTACCTGTAAACCACAACACATTGTACCAGCCATCCTTTTAAGAGCAAGCATAGAAGAAGAAAAGGTAACTCATGAGGTTTTTAGGTCAGAGTGATTACTGCCCTTTCTCCGTATCTGTCATAATGAGTCCTGGATATTTTATCTACTGGCTTGCGTTGTAGTCATCTGTCGGCGTAGAGGCCTGAAGGGCTTGCCAGACATGACGGTCATGTGATGCTGCTACAGGCGTTATCAATGGGATGCACACAGCTTCTGTAGAGAGGCAGGCCAAACGGTTAAGATCACTTGACTTTCATGGGAGAGACCTGGTTCAAATCTCCAGTAAGGTTGTTGGGGTTTGTTTTTATTTATTTTTTTTTTTTGATCGGGTGTTAAAAACTGTCCTAACCTGCACAGTCTGCGATGACAGCACTAGCGCCGCCCCCTAAATCCTCAGGCTCAAAGACTTCCCGTTCCTGCTACACTGCGAAAAACAGGCAGTAATGGCAGGTTTTTTTTTTTCAACAGCTTCAATAGGCTGTTATGCTACATGCATCTGTAGTCTACACCCATTTTTTTGGCCACACCAATATATAGGTCACACCCATGTGTAGGCCACACCCATCTGTAGGCCACACCCATCTGTAGGCCACACCCATCTGTAGGCTACATGCTACTTCTACAAATATGTGTATTATTTATATAGTAAGAAGGTACAAACATTTTCTACAAACAGTCGGTGACCACGTACATTATCAGTGGGCTGTGCAATTTTTATGAACTCTTTGTCTACAGACCACATCTGTTATCAGTAGATCACAAATTTTTGTGTAGCCTGTGTTATCCATAGACTAACATTATCTGTATTTCACATGTTACCTGTAGACAACAGTGTTGTCTGTGTACCCGATATTATTTAAGAGCTACCTGTAATCTGTATACCACATGTTTTCCAAAGACTACAAATATTAGCTATAGACTATACAGTGTGTATTATCCCACAGACCACAGTCATTGCCAACGCATGATACTGTGAAGAGACTACAAATCATAACTTCTTTACGCCTAGACACTGTCAGTTCTATAAAACATCTAACTGTTGTAACTTCTGTAGAACAAATACACATTGTATCTTCTATAGAACATCTACAAATTGTATCTTCTATAGAACAACTGCACATTGTAACTTCTGTAGAATAACTACACCTTATATCTTCTATACAACATCTACAAATTGTATCTTCTATAAAACATCTACACATTGTATCTTCTGTAGAACAACTGCACATTGTAAGTTCTGTAGAACATCTACATATTGTATCTTCTATAGAACAACTACACCTTATATCTTCTATACAACATCTACAAATTGTATCTTCTATAAAACATCTACATATTGTATCTTCTATAGGACAACTGCATATTGTAAGTTCTGTAGAACATACATTGTAATAGAACAACTGCACATTCTCTGTAGAACAACTACACATTGCAAACATCTACAAATTGTAAAACATCTACATATTGTATCTTCTATAGGACAACTGCATATTGTAAATTCTGTAGAACAACTACACATTGCAACTTCTGTAAAACAACTGTACATTGTAACCTCTATAGAACAGCTAGATGTTGTACATTTTAAAGTAACTAATAGTCTATCTACCAGACTTATGCAAATATCACAGAGACATATTACATGGGCACAAACGTCAGACGTGCACAAATTGCTTGCACACAAGTCAGACATAACCTCTTGTTCACACAAAACTCAGATGTAAGACAAATTGTTCACATATACATTTCGCAAAGCCATTTTAACAGTGATGTATTCATTTGTACCGATTGTACTTCAAAGCCCTGTGATGTATGGCTAGTATTTGAATAATGTGTTTCTTGTAGCTGTTCCCAGTATTTATGTGTATAGCCTAGCCTGTAGAATTTTGGTTCGATTTGTTTTGTTTCAATATATTTTGTGATAAGATTGATATCACCAAAGAGCTGCAAGAGTGTGTTGTCAGAGCTGCCTGCTTGCTTGCTGTTGTCTCAGTTTTACTGTAATTTCTTTTACTGTGAATGTTGTGAGGGGAGGCAGGGATTTACCATGTTAGGACAGTGAACACAGGATACTGTGCATGAAATGGGAATAACGCCACAGACATCAATCCCTGTTTGCAGGAAGGTTAACCTAGGCACTAATGCGTGAAGCTGGCAGCATCAGCTGAAAGATGCTAGGCTAAGAAAGAGCCTTCCCTGTTTTATGAGGTTCGGCCACCTCCAGGATCATGTATGGCATTAAAAAACCTATGCTGTGTTCATGCAGAGGCTTACCAGCATGATGAGCCCATGGCATAGCACCTGCAGGCAGGTTAAAGTAAAACAGTGTTGAGGTCATGCATCGTTTTCTTGGCAACTTACATATGTGAGTCTTGGGCTTTTGCTCAGTCTTTGAAGAAGAGAATCAGAGCTTTTTAACTAAAATGCTACAGGAAAATTGTAACATTCCTTAGACCGAGAACAAGAAAACATTGACATCCTGCATGACCTGGAGAACTGGCTCATAAACAGCATCCTGGCCCAAAAGCTAAGGTATTTTGGACATGCCAGGTGCCGCGGTAGTCTGGAGAACTGGCTTATAAACAGCATCCTGGCCCAAAAGCTGAGGTATTTTGGACATGCCAGGTGCCGCGGTAGTCTGGAGAACTGGCTTATAAACAACATCCTGGCCCAAAAGCTGAGGTATTTTGGACATGCCAGGTGCCGCAGTAGTCTGGAGAACTGGCTTATAAACAGCATCCTGGCCCAAAAGCTGAGGTATTTTGGACATGCCAGGTGCCGCGGTAGTCTGGAGAACTGGCTCATAAACAACATCCTGGCCCAAAAGCTGAGGTATTTTGGACATGCCAGGTGCCACAGTAGTCTGGAGAAAATAAACAGTTGCCTGAGGGAGGTACTGGACATGAGACAGAACTGGCCATAAACAGCTCTGCCCAAAGATTTTTGGACAGAGGTGCATGGAAACTGATGCATCCTGGCTATGAAAGCACGCAGGGCTGGAGAATTGGCTGGAGAAGGAAATACTTTCAGGCGTGTTGTGAAGAGAGCGACATTGTGTAAAATACGTGCTGATTGATTGTGGGAGAGCACCAGATTCTTGAGTCTGTCACCAAACCTCTGCACCCCTTGTCACTTCCGAGTCCTCCTTGACTAGTTTGTGAATATTATTACAGCATTAGATAAGTTGATGTAAGTACCAAAGTTTTTTTTTTTTCATTGTTTGTTTTAATTTGTTGTCAACTCAGGTTTTGTTTTATTTGTATTATCAGTTTAAGCACAAATCATATCTAGAGAATGATGGTTCTGTGTGAAAACTCCCTCAAAATATTGTTTATGACGATTCAAACCAGTCCCTGTTTTTCGAGTTAAGGGTGGGCATCATTGCTTTTTTTTTCCACTTATACCAGTTAGCTACTCAAGCTGTGTAATGGCGAATTGGTTATTGTCATCTTGTACTGAAATGGGTTCTGGTTTTTATCATGCCATGGCAGGACTTGTTTCGACCAATTGAGAACAACCCATCTTCGTTTAACAGGCGCTGGATAATGGTTAGAATTATCTGGAGATTATCTGATGAGGACTGACAGGAGG